CTAGGGTGGTACCCACAATGGTACATTTCAGTACCTTTAGTCAGGGAACATAAATGTACCACAATTCACACACCCCGTCTCGTCTACAGGCTCTTTATTTTATTGTTCTGTTTTAAAACATTAGGTTTTAAAAAGGTACAAATACATACTTTTATACTGGGAAAAACTTATTTAAGGTACACAGTTGGACCTTAAAACCACTGTTGTACCTTTAAGGGTACATTTACATTGTTTGTACCTTGATAAGTGAAAAATGTGCCTGCACAGTACATTTATTTCCAACAGTGCATAATACAAACACTATAAACATGATATAAAACAAATGCTCAGCTAGCTTGTGAAAAGTGATGATTAAGAAGTGTAAAAATGATCTTCCTGCACATTTCTTTAAAATATATTTAGTAAAGTCATTTCATGTTTCAGGTTCTGACATGCAACTGTAAACAAAAGATTGCCACTCCTGGTGAAATTACACGTGTTATTGATTTTCTAACTGAAAACACACATTACATATTTTAATGTACAATTACTGTATATTTGCTGAAATTAACATATAGGATAGAAATGTGGCCTGTGCAAAAGTTATGGCACAATTTATATTTTTTTTCTTCTATTTTATTAAAATATGTTAAACTTAGTAAATAAACAGAAAATATGGACCAAATTTCAAAAAATGCCATATTTAAGTTTGTTCCCTGTAGAGGATATACTAACTTATTTTCTTTTAGAAAATCAACAAAACATGTAATTTGACCAACGTTTCAACTTTATCTGTATCATTATTGAATGACTATAGAAGAATATTATAGACTTTACAACAACAAAACAATCACTCAGCAAACGTGCCACTAATAAATTATTAAAGTACACAAGGTGAGCAAATCAACTGCACTTTTTTAAATGACTTTGTGCACTGATTTCTTAGTTTTGTGTATTGTTATTCCATCACAAATGGAATAGAAAGAACGCTTTCAAAGTAATGTCAAGTTAGTCCGTGTGTTCCATGCCTTAGGAAAATTTATCAACATATGAGACCATTTGTGTAGAATGTGTTGCTTGTTAATCATTATTGTAATATTGCCCTTTGCCGTTCTGATATTACAAAAGGCTGCAATATGCAAATGAGCCCTCTAACAAATCACAAAACGTTTTATTGCATGCTGTGAGCATCCTGATCAGTTTCAGATGAGCGCTTCTGTGGGAGCTTTCACCAAGCAAGGCATTCACATGATTCTGGCCAAAATAATACAGGCTAGTTTTTACCAATATGTGTGTCATACATTGCAAAGCATATCATAATGACAATATCTAGCAAAATCATCAAAATATGGCACATTGTCTATATTGTACAGCTATTGTTTATGCTATATTTAAAAAAATCCCTTCACACATATGCTCACATTTCTTCCTTTGGAGATGCGGCCCTAATGAGCCAATAGAGTAGACTGTGATTTACATCTGCAGAGCCTGTGCCTACATGTGATGCCCTGGCGGAAGCGGATGAGATCATGTCTCGGCCTGCTCTGAAGTCACGAATATTTACAGCAGTGGCTCCATGGCAGCTCACACATCAGACAACAGACTCTGAGATGCACTGCAAGACACAATTCATTCAAAAATGGTGACCTGAGGAAGCTACTCATGATGTTTAAACACAAACCTGGTACTAACTGACTGTATCAGTTGTGCAGGCTAGAGGGTAATCAGACAGATCCTTGCTACAGGCAGGTCTGCGGCGCAGTGTAGGTCAACCACAGCGGAAAGGTAATTGAAGAAACCTCTAACATGGCAGTGAACGTTATGATTCATCGCAAACGAGCTCGGTCAGATCAATTTGCTCCATGGTTACCTGTGTGTCTGCGCACTAACAGATCCAGTGCCTCCCTCCCACTCTGATCTGTTTTTGCCACTAATGCTATTTGTCTCTGCTCCCCAGCCTCAATCCCCTTTTGAATGGTGGACTCAAGTGCTCATTTGTCTGCAAGAGCAAGGTTAAAAGTACACAGGCAGGGCTGTGGCTGGAGCACCGCCGCACATCGAGCCCCGGCAAATTCATACATGTTATTTATGATCCATATGACCGTTGATCACGCTCACTTAGCACAGGCTGAGGCTCATGAGGTGAGCATTCAAAGCCACCACCCTCAAGGTAAAAGTCCTCAGCAGTGAGAGTCACTTGGTTACGAGCACCACAATAGGCTTCATCAGGCCATTCTGCAATTGTCAAACCAGAATCTCAAGAACTTATTAACCTGCATGTTAAGGACAAGTGGGACGATGATATTTGCACTGAGAACAAAAAAAAAACCACAAGCTGGAACTTTTCAGAAACTGTTGCTATTTGTGGATCTACAGAAAGTGTGCTAGTACAGGATTTTTTGCATGTTTGATATGTGCTCTCAGAAAGAGGGAGAAAAAAATTAATCCTCTTAAATTCTGTTCCCATAATCTGATTTGCTGTGGTTGTTGGTTTTGTTCAGTGATGCCACTCATGGGCAGCCCATGGTGACTTTACACCCATGTTTCCTCTTCCTGAGGTCAGCATGGTCTGTCAGCAAAACAAATCCCAACTCACAAATGAGGCTTAGGATAAAATTATTATGATTAAAACAATTTTCCATGGCAACCCTCTAACCCTGTGCAGGGTCCAGATCAATGACCTACTTAAACCATTTACAAACAGGCAACTACAGACAAGCTTAACCCTATATTTCTTCAGTTCAGGTTATCTATCCTTGATTAAAGTGTAGGAACAGAGAAATTAACACACAGGCTATGATATATTGTAATGCCGAAAGCAAAGTGGGTTGATTGATATACAGATATTGTTGCTTTCAAAAAAACATTATTTTCCTACATCATTTGAACACAGCTGTCCTTTACATTGTCTGAACATTTCATGATGAATGGACCAATAGAAATGCTCCAAAATAACTTGTAATAAAATAAACGTCTATTAAAAGTTACAGATATTTTTGCCTCCTCCTATGAGGTTATTATTTCTGACATACTTGCTTTTTTTTTGGACAGCGATGATACCTGAAACTAAAAGCTCGGTGGTTGACTAAGATTTCAGATTCCATGCCATTTTCTCCAGTGTATTTGGTTTAATGGCCAGTGTTGTTGCGTTTAGTTTTTGACTGCGTCCCAGGCTGGCCTCTGACGGGCTGAGGGTTAAAGCTATTTAAAGAAGACCCTAGAGCCCCTAGCAAACCTACCAAACACACTAGCACTGTACAACAGCAGCTCCCAGACAGCTGAAGAATGGCTCCATTATTCATAGACACACACACACACATACACTGAGGCACAGGCACTACTGACCTGCTCCTTGTGTAACCCATTTCCCCACCACTGCCTACTGGAAATTCCCCCTACTTTTGTGGACGTGAGCATTAAACAGCAAACACTGTGACATTACAAGGGTTCTTTGCTGATAATACATTTTGCCAAATGCAAGTACTTAAATTTCATTAATGCCAAAAAATCTCTAATTAGTATCTCCAGCCTTTAAGGGCCGCATACTGCATCTACACTAAGACATACATAAATGAACGTAGCACTTAACAAAGCATGGATGAATTTAATCATGCTTTATCCCCCAATCATTTCTTCTTTTGTGAGGAGCAGGCTACATATGATTACTAGGCTAATTGGTTTATAATCTTTAGCAATCTTCTGGTTTGACAAAATAATCGCCCAGTGCAGTGTGTATGGGCAGCGGGAAAGGTTGTTCATTTTATTTTACTGAATAAAAATGAGTGTAGAGAAAATTAATTATGGTCTGATGAAATGCAGGTATTTGCCAACACAGGTAGCAGCAGTCACAGCATAGCGTTATGAGACAGCAGCAGAGAGAGCACGAGCTCAGTGTGTTTGAGAGGATCAGCAATTCACACAGCTGGGAAGATCATGGTGTAAAAGTGTACGGTCAGTGCGTCAGGCTTCAACAGCAGCGTAAATTATACCTGACCATTAAATACAGTTCACTCATCTGCAACCCCTAATCCTAGAGCAGCAGAAGGAAAAAAAAACGCCTACTCCGTTTGTCCCTTTTGCCGCGGTCAGTGTCTCTAAACGAACAAACTGTGCGTGTGCGTGTGTTTATGAAACATCAGGAAATACCAAGCCAGGCATTCCAGCTCGTCAGCACCTCTGTCTCTCATGTGACTGGAGACACACAGCCTAGATTGTGTGCAAGTTTGCTCATGGAGCATGATAAGAAAATTTGGTAAAGTGAGAGAGAGAGAGAGAAAAAGAGACGGGGGCCGAGAAGGAGGGGAGGATAATCTGATATGCATGACTTGAGGTTTTTCCCAGCTTCTCCCTTTCTTTTCTCTGGCAGAAATCGCAGGTTGCATCCATAATTTACAGGACGCTTCTCTCTCCTGGCAGTCTGGCTTCTGCAGCTCCACCGGCCTGTCCTCATTAGCATAATGCAGATGCCACCAAAAAATCTTTCACCTTCGAGCTGTTCCCAGTCTCATCAGTATACAAGGCTGTGGCACGAATGTGGTTTACATGCCTAAAGAGGCTGGCGATAAAACACTGAACACGCTACATGTGCTGTTGATGCAACCCTGGCATTTTAAAAAAAAAATTTTTTTATTTTTTAAAACGGAAAAATCTCTAATCTCAGTAATTGGGCCTGCCATTAATGATCATGTAGAAAAACTGACACTGGCTTTGTGAGAAGGAACAACAAAGCAGCAGAGTGATTTGAGAGGCCCCGCTGCTAATTATGACTCATGTCGTACAGTGCGTTCTGCTGCTTGCTCAAAAACACTAAATAAATTTGGCATTTGCCAGCACTCAGGAAATATGATTGCCTTACACAATAGAATTCAGCCAGTCCTGTTTTCTAACCCCAATTACACCATTTCAGAGAGATCAGCGAACAGTCATGCCACGCAAGAAGCATGTGTGATTGTAAATCTGTGATTGCGGTTAGAGTCATTAGGAGAAATGAGCAGTGAAGGATCATCAATCAAGCACCTTACCAGAGGATGCAGTAGGTTTCTTTGTTTAGTGTTTAGCAAATCCACTCCTATGTCCTCATCAATCATAGAGGTGGTCTGGAATGGAGAACAAAAACACACGGCCTAAATGCCCCAGCCAAGCGGACAGCGCTGCAATAATCAAACATCAGTTCTGTACAGTTTTTTGAGCCCAGCGTGCAACTTTAACCTGATTAAAGAAAACAACATTCCACAACTCCACAAATGCCAGTTTAAAAGCACATCACACCACATAAGGGCCCTGAACAATGCCAGGGCGTTTGGCGAGTGACAGGGAAAGCACAGCTTGCTAATTCAGATGCATTTTAGATACAATTCACATAAGGTAATGCACAAATTCCAAAAGCATTTATGAAAATATTTTGAAAGTGACAAATGCATATTCTGCAATGTGTTAATTCGCTGCTCAATAATATATCACTGTGTCAAATGAAAGACACATGAAATAAGATTTGTCAAGTTCCTGGGAAATAAGCCAACGTTAGGCAGCTATCAAAAACAGATTTTGTGCTATGGTTACAATAACAAGCAGCCATCAATGAAGACGACTAATAGGCAAAACAAACGAATCTAATTAAAAACTACAAACAGCTGACATCTCAATGTATTCTGTATTTATGCGCTGGAACACAGCTGAAGTTAGAACAAAGCTACAGGATGTAATGTTTGCAAATCAGCATTGCAATGTGAACCTGTGTAACATATCAAAACTAAATGTAACAATATTAGTGCCCAACTAACTCACAGACCCTCCACTGTGTGCTAAGAGAGCAAACTAATCAAGCTCAATTTTCATGATGAGTTTCAGTCAGTACTGTAACAAATCATGGGCTTTCACATCACCGCCAAACGTACATAACACTGTGTCAAAATCCTGCGGCTGATTATAGTTTCAGTATGAAATGTTCTCCATATCCTGCGGCTTAATTCAGAGTGTGTGTTGTAGAGCAGGGGTTTGACAACAGTCTAAACATTTGTTCTCCGTAGCAGAACACACTCATTCATACGGAGAGGCAGATTTAAACTAGGACCACATTAACCAACATGAATACTGATACAGCAATTTTAAGCAGGTGAGAATTGAGATAACCAATAATATTAGCTCATGTAATTTTATATGAACAATAATTAAACAGACTCCAGTAGTTTTCAGTAAACAATGTGGATTTATATCATTATCAGATCTCAAATGTCACATTTCTTAGACTCAAATAAACAAAGGACACTCAGTCTCAGATAACACATATATTCCTACATGCAAAGCGTGCAGCTTCTCAGAATTCTTAGCAGTTTTGCTGTCATGGTGATGTTTTGTGTTCAAATTATTATATCCTGTAATAGAAGTGAGCTGATACTTATGACATTTTCATGATACACAAGACATAACACGATATTCTGACACAAATACACAATGCACTAGTAGTGCCACATCAAAACCTCTGGCACAAAGATTTTCATTCAACATTTCACATACAGCACTGCAGTAAATATAATTAAACCAGACTTATCACGCTCTTATTTTCATGAAACATGCAGTTGGTCAGTGTTCTTAAAGTACTGACGATATCCACAACATATTCAGAAAAGCAAACTGTTTATCACAATAACAAAATGTATCATGATGATAAAATATCGTTATATTGCACCAGCCACTAATTATCAGCGTTTTATCAGTGGGACTTTCACCAAAACCGACTTGCGGGTTAGCGGTTGAATGATGTATCGGTCAAGCCCTAATTTAAACAAGCAGGATGAACCATATTAAAACTATGATCAGAAATTGCAAAGACCACCATTATTTAGTATGACTGTTCAGCTGTTCTCATGCATTATAGCTGTTCCAGCATGCATAGCAATGGCTAGTAATCTAATATATGGCTAAAGCCGAGGCAGAAAGCCAACCTTTCACATCAGAGGCTTGTGTTAACTCAGCACAGGGCCTGCAAAGCGTGTTTATTTCTTCAGTGTCTACTATCACCCTCTTCAGCCCCACACGGCTGTAATTACATATAAATATTTCAAGTCAGCTTTTGGGTAAGTGAAACTGCTGATATTCTAATGGGCTCATGCTTGGACTATTAATGGCCTCGTTACGGCGACTGTATTTTTAACTCGTTAATACTCCAACATTTTGGAAAGTGCTGGTCTTGTGACATTCTCCTTGAATTTGTACTATAAACTGAAAGACAACATTAAAAACACCTTCCTCTATTTATTATTGCCCACACTTCCTCATTTAATTACAGTTAATTCTGGCTGGCTAATGTGATCCTTTCATATATTTGCCAGCGTTTGAGGCAAATTAAATTGGACATATCACTTTAATTAAGTAAATGTTATTCAGTTTTCCTATCATGGACGTGAAGAATATAATGGTGTCCCTCACTGGAGAGCATCCACAGGTTTTATTCGGGATACTACAGCCGTAGGACTTGCTGAAAATAAGTTTCAAGCACAAGAATGATACAGTTATTCCTTAAGGAGCAGCGCTGCTCCAGATTTTGCTTGAGCTACTACTGCTTTAATTGGTCCAATTAGGTTATTTAAGCAGATTTCTAGTGGCACATTGCTGTAACGTCTCTCCGTGCCTTTACGTAAGCTTGTTATAATGACAAAGTGAGCAAACGAAGCCAGTGCAAGCGAGCGCGTTGCTCATACACGCGAGGCCCGCTAACCTTAAGGCACAGTCCACATGATGCAAAGATACAGAGCCATAAGACACGAGAGAAAAGCGGGATGTGTGAGACTGATGATAAAAGGGAGAAAAACAGACAGCGGGAAGAAAAGACACACACTGCTAAGGCTTGATTATCCACACTTTCACACTCACCGAACACAAACTGAGAGACATCTAAGACGGACCTCCCTCAGTTCTTGGACTGCACGGGCGCTCAGATGGGCTTTTGGATTGGGCTGTATTGTCTGTGCTCCACACTCATTAGCTGAGTCAAGGAGGGACTTACTGGGGTGTTTAGCTCGCTGAGCTTGTGTGGCAGCTCAACAAGCTCTCCCAGCTGGAGCACCGCACTCTCATCACAGCTGCACACATACAATTAGTGCAGGTGCAGCCAAGGGGCGAGCAGGCACAACACACACACAGACACACATTAGGACTCCACGATATGGACAAAATTCCACATTGTGATTGTACTGCTTCCTGCTATGATTGCAATTTGCCTTGTAATATAACAGAAACACAATGGTGATATGTAAAGATGGTGTATTAGTATCAGCAGAAAATGCTGGATTGGATATCATATAGAAAAAAAAATGAATCCGACCCAAAGCCTGAAATAGCACACATTGGCATTGTGTGATGTGATGTTGTTACTTGTGCATTTCTTCCTGTGGGCTAAGTAAAGTGTCTGAGCATGATAACCTACTTTTAAATGCTCATCTGAAGTAAAGTGCTTCAATTCAAACTAGCTCATTTTAAAGCTTAATAGCAGCCTTGGGCCTATAACTGACATTAACAAATATCGTGATCATTTAAATAAATGTCGATATTATGCAAATGATCATTCTTTCATTCTATTTCATGTACTGCTTTGCCTTTATTAAGCCATTTTCTTTGTACAATTCATTCTGCTCTATTATTAAAAATATATACAATAGAAAAGACTGCACTTAAATATAAGCTAAACAAAAAAACATTAACTGTTTATCTACATACGTACATACCTTATTCGCCACACGCAAAGATTATGACGTGGATTTTCAGTCTCGCGAAAAATGCTGGAGCAAATGAAACTATGAGACTTTGGCACGTGAGATCTGAGCAGCAGAAGGAAGTATAATAGACAAGACTGACCAGAAGACCACTGGATATTAAGAATATAGATATCATTATGAATTAATACGTAATACTAGAAGCTAGCCCTAGTTGATAACTGTATGATAACTATACTACCACTGGGGAAAATGTAAGACGTATAGTAAATCTCTGTAACGATTACATGTGGTACTTACTGATTCAGGGTCATGATGATATCATTTATTACAACAATTCTGCAGTTGATAACTGTTTGTGTAAATTTACATTATTGTCCAAGCTTGCTTTATAGTTTTTAAAGATAAAATATCAGATTCATATCATATCAGTCAATATTCAAGATTTCAATACCAGGATATCAGAAATAAAAGCAGTATTGTTTTATCTCTAGTGCTATAACATGGTTGAAGATTGGTCTGCATTATTTTTGTGAATGTCTTGATTCATCTAAACACCCACAGAGCACTTGTGAGCAATGTCTGAGATTGCTGTGGACAGTTAACAAATGATGTGTCGCATTAGTGTTGATACGGTGTTTTTGTTTTCCACTGGAAATAAAATCTGTGACATCATTTTCAACAAATACTTTATTCCTTTTTTCTGGTTCTGCTTTTGTGAAACAAAAAGCCTCCTATTAGTAGGGTTTGAGTGTTTAATGCAGTTCACAATCTCCCAACAGAATGGGAATATTCCACAGATCCCAGCCAAGCCTGGCATTCCGTTCCATCATGACGCAGAATTAGTCTGAACAAGAGCTAGGATTAAACTTACTAACTGCAATTTATAAATATCCGGAGAGAAAAATGGAATGTGGGCATATGCTTTTCCCCCTGACCTAATATTGATGCTAAGAGCTCTGCTTACAAAACATTATCACAGAGCTGCGTGCAACAGCAAATTACACGACAAAAGCGGTGCAGCGCTGATTTGCGAGTTGTTTATTTTGGGGCCTCTAGAGGTGAAATAAATTCTGCCGGTTTCAGCTTTGTCTCTCCGCCACACGCAGTAAAGGCAGAAAGCGGCGACTCTCTGCAGAATATCTCTCATGCTGTGATCGTCTTACATCAGGATTAATCTCCAGTGGATGCCATTAAGCGGAGCGGCCAGCAAAACACGCAACGCACACATCTGAATAATTCATTTAGGGCTCAACTCGCTGGAGGGATTTCTTTTTTTTGTCGTTTTTTTTGGTCTGTTTGTGTGTGAACCCTAGCCTTGAATACTGGAGCACCCATATGTTCGTGTGGGCGAGAAGAAGGTGAGCATGAGAGGGGCATTCTGCAGA